CAGAAGCGGCTCAGTCATGTTGGCCACATGACCCAGAAAAACTGAGGACAAACACCGGCTTCCTCGGCCTATAAAGCAAGATAGGCGCCGCAACCCCAGAGTCGTCTGCGACTGGACTTAACTGTCAGGGGTCCTTTACCTTTACCTTTTTACTGAATGTGTTATGGAACTGAGACTTTTGGAGTGATATACAAGTATGCCATGCTAAACTTCATTCATGCCAGTGGGCACGGTGTGATGCAACAACGGAAGCCACTGGAAAACGTTGCTACTCCCACCCTTTCTGCACATTCTGCCATGATTCACCCCATAGGTGCCAACTCTATGGGGCCCTGGTCCCTTTGGTCTGCCCAATAAAATATTTAGGGGGAGGGCCAGGGCCCCATATTTTCTGCCAGTTGGCACCTCCCTCCCTCACCTTTCCTCCACCTCTTTGGGTGCCCTCCTCTTTGCCCAGCTTGATTCCTGGCTTTCAGTGCCAATTTTTCAACTACACCACCTTTATGTCTGTTAAACCTGTTTTGTTTTGTTTTCCAAGCGGAAAGCTAAAGAATCCTGCACTTAGCTCATCTAGGCTATGAATTCATGCAATCTGCTTACAGATATTTTCCAGGCCAGGGATTTGCATTTTTTGCATTCCGAGTGGTTACAGTCTCTGATGTCATAGTGGCGCCACAAAGCGTGGTTTTATTTATTTTTCAATATTATCTCCTGTATATTAAGCAATAGCGTGATACACAGAAACAGCAGAAGCTCCCCCGCATGTAATTTGATGCCTAAGCAAATCAGGCAACAATCCCAGAATTCCTCTTTGCTCAAATGGATTAAAATATGTTTCCAGGGGTGGTTTGGCTGGAGTAGCGCTCTCTGGGGAAATGCGAGTTGAAAAGTCTCTCTTTTTGTTTATTTTGTTTTGGTGAAGATCTCTATTTCTGTGAAAGAGCCATAAACGCTTTTGGAGTTGGATCAGAGCCAGAACAGGGTATGCTTAAGACGTATTCCTCTGCATGAGATCTCATTAATAAATCGTAACGGAAGGAAATCACAGTTTTAGTTAAAGCCCAAAGAAGGCAAGAGAGAGAAAACTACTTAAAATATTTGTTAAAAAATAAAAATTAAAAATAACTTCAGCTACTGATGAGCTTATTAGATGTGGCGGCTAAGGGCCTCCTTGAGGACAGTGAGTTCAAAGCTCAGGGATTCTCACTGCCGCGGACGTGTAAAATGGAGGTGGGATGTAGAAACCTATTGAAACCTGCTGAGCTGGGAATAAAAATGTAGGAGGAAGCCATTTTTAATGGATTTATACAAGGGATTTTGCAGTTCTGGCACAATCAAACTTTGCTTGCCTCAAACTGACACTTACATCTGAACCATTTGTACATGATTGCTGTTTTTTAAAGGAACTTAACTAATTATATGCAAAACTATACTCTCTGTCTTTCTCCCTGTGTCAGCCAATCTGAGTATCACCCACCAATGATCAAGTTGTGGACCTAAGATATCTTCTTTAAACTTCCTCAAGCCTTCACATCTGGGGATTTTGGCTTAACTCTTTATCGCACCATTTTGGAGTTCCATTGTCAGTGAGTAAACATTAGTGACATTGCCAGGTAAAAATGGAAGGGATTGTTATATAGACCATGAATCACGGAAGAATAGCATGCAACTATAGCTATACTTTGATCATACGGCCCACTATTTATATTTTACACCTCTGGTCAATTTTTTTTGCCGTTTGTCTGGTATGCATGTGCTATGAGCAGTTTTCATTCCTTTTTTTTTAGGACACGGAATAACCAGACCTTACTTGGTCTAAAATGCAAGAAGTGCTTCACAATCTGACTTGCATTTCTAACAATGTTTAGCCGGGAAGTCGGAGGAGCATTTGGGAATAAAATTTTGTTAGCTTCTTGGTGCTTTCTTCTGGGAATACTCAAGGAGATGCAGTACCAGCACCGGTTTTTTCTAGAAGAAAAGCACGGTAGTTACATAATGCTGGTTGAGGTTGATGGGAGTTGTAGTCCAGTTCTGATGAAGGCTGCTCTAGACTAAACCACCTCTGTTTCATAGTTCAATAATACTGGCATTCAGATCTTTATTTTATTTGAGGTGTGGTGGGCAAGACCACCACTATTCGGACTTTATTACTTTGAGGCAGACAATCTTTTTCATGTATACTTTCTAAATGCAGAATACTCATCTAAATTTGGGACTAGTTTTAGATTTCTGATGTCCTAATGGCATTCAGATGAATTCTTTTTAGTTCAATGTCTGAATTTTTGCTATGGTTTTGCTCAAATAATGGACATCACATGGACATAAAATGATGCAGTTATTAGTTAAATCCACACATTTCATGTGGGTCTGATTCCCATCTTTGTAATACTGGATTATCCTTATTCTTCAGAAAGGGGTTATATTAATCAATCAGCACAACTTCATGGTCCAGCTTATCTGTCTCTCTGTTGGCCATAAAAGGGGTAGCCTATTTTTGGCAGCTCCTGGCAATATCACGTTTCAAAGGCATTTCTTGGAAGAACTGTGGCTGTGCACAGAGCAAAAAAGAGACATAATGCACTTTTGTCCTCTGCCCAGCCTCATATCTACATTCAAGATCAGCTGCTCTCTGGCTTCCATATCAAACTCAATGTCTTTTCTCACAAATAAAGACCTAACGTGAATTCTGGACATTAAGTCACACAAACCAGTCAGGTACATTTGTGACCCATTGCCAAATGTAGTTCTACTAGTTGGGCACAGCCGTTCATCACGGGCACAACAAACTGAAATGATAGAGGGGTGGGGATGTCAAAGTGCCTGCTAGGCCAGCATGCATTGCCCGTGGGCTGTGTTTGCCTGGGGGGTGGGTCTCTTTGGCAGGCCTGATACTGACACCTTTATCTTTTCCTACCAACAGTTAACCATATACTTGGTGGATAATAAGAATCAGGAGCCAGATGTACAACAGAAGGAAACCAGCATCTATTTTGGGTGGGGGAGTTGGTTTGCTTTTCTATTTTATGTTTAGATGTTGTAGGCTAAAGACCAGTTTCCAGGGATGAAAAAGAAAAACAACGCGTCAGGGCTAACAGTCCAGCAGGGATGGGTAAATTCCTTAGCATTTTTCTTTCCAGTACAAGATGAGATGCTTTACCTGAGGTGGAATATCAGCTGATACATGTTCACGTGCGCTCCTCTTGCAGACTCACCAGGAAAAGGATTAAAGAAGTTTTTTTTTGGGGGGGGGGGAGGTTAAATCAGGATTAGGCCTCCAAGGGCTTATTCAGACCCCAAACATCTTGAGGCCTGAAGTCATTACAACTTCATTTAGATTATATTTTAAGGAAAATTCAAATGTACAGATTTCACATGATTAAATGAAATAGTGGCAAAAGCAGGGCAGGCACGCTGATAAATTACAGTGCATTTTTATTAGATTAGCAATGTGCTAGCTTTGACATCAGTGGTAATACAAGCTCATATTGCAAAAGGTTTTTTTTTAAAAAAAAAAAAACATATTCAGTGTTGTGTTTGGCTTCCTCTGCTGGCATATCTTTTTACTGAGAGCTGAATGTGTATAGTTGCAGGCCAGAATTCTTAGAAAAGTGATACCCTGCATGCTTGCACTTGAAAGTACTCTAAGCACCAAGAGAGGCTACAGAGATGCTGGAAGGGGTAGGGGAAAGACAACACACAAAAGGGTTTTGTAGCCTGATCTCCTGGTCTAGAATTTACCTTCTGTCAACCTTTATAGTCTACTCTGAGAACAATGTGCTGAATGTCAGTTATGGATGGGCAAGCTAAGAGTATTGCGGCCCCTAGACAATGCATTATTTGGCTATGATGGATGTGGGGAAATGTGATCCACGGTGAGTCAGATGGCATTATTAGGAGAAGGAATGCAAGCAATTCTTCACTGGAAAAAGAACTTTCCATATTCTTTTTAAGTGTGAAAATATTGCATCATCCATCTGTTCCATATTATATATGAAACCTCCTGATCAGTGCAAAGTAAAAGTAGAGGGAAATGAAAAGAAGAATGGGAAGAATAATTTTTCAAGGCAGATTTGCATCATGCACTTAGGTCATGCAAAAGTGTCTTGACCTTGCAGGAGGATTTTAAACATCTGCTTTATGGAGTGGAGAACTGCAGAGCATTCATTTGCCAAGTTAGGCAAAAGTGATAAACCAAAGCTGTTGTTAAAGTCTCGGCTGCTGTAAACAAGTGAACCAAGTGTGAGATAACAGATTCTGAAAGGACAGCACAAGAGGAAGGGGGGAAAAAAACCACCTGGAGGAAAATCTGTTTTGAAAAATGGTTTCTGGTTTCTTTCTAGTGTTGTCATTTCTGTAAGAAAGATCTCTCAAAGTACTCTTTCGATACAGCTTTGACTTCTCTTCCTGCTGTGCTTATAACAAGTGAGGTGGGTGGGTCTCCAAATGACATGAACAGGGGTTGGGGTTGGGTTCCTAAATATTTATGTGTAAAACCATGTTGAACAGCCCTGGTGTGAGGGGGAAGGACATTTTTTAAATGAATAAACTGTTGCTGAAGAAAATGTTTTATGTGAATTTCCATGCAGTGTTTATTCCCCCCCCCAAAAAAAATTCATAACTTGACGTAAAAATGGAGCAAAGTGAACTTAAGACTTGAAAAATGAGAAACTGAGAGACATCAAAATTGTCAGATTCTTCCATCCTACTTGATGGCCCAGGTGGAAGAGAAGAGCAGAAAACTTTCTTCTTGATCTTTAATTTTGTAATAGTGACTTCTCCTTGTTTTCTTTGGACTCCTTTCCCCCCCATTTCCCTTTTCTCACCTTTTGTTTTTCTTGCTGCCTCCAAACTAAGTCTTGGGAATTTGATGGCAATATCAGCTCTTCTCCCTCCCTCCCTCCCTGTGTTTCACCTGTCTCTATCTTTGCTCTCCCCCCTCCCCATGCTGCGCTTTAATTCACAATTTGACAACCTATTTGTACGGCTGTATTTTATTTGCAATAAGTTATTCACAGGAATGGCGCTGCTTGCTGAATGCACCTAACAGATGACTTGAAAATTACAGAGGTGGGTGCCTGCATCCTAATCTTTTTATACCATAACCTGTTCTAGATAATGAGCTTTAAACACATGATGACAAAATTGTAGAAGAAAACCTGATTACCTGTAATCTTGTGGGTTTATTCTCCCTTTGTGCATGTGTTTAAGCAGTGAGTTGTTTTTTTAAAAAATCATTCACAGTAGTTATGTGGAAGACCTGAGGGAGAATTATGGTCTTAGCTCTGAGCACAGTAAATTTGTATATTGAGTTAATTGGCAGTCAGTGGTTATGGTATATAAAGAGATTATAGAGCCACAATGCTGCCTTCTATATTGTCATCACATCTTAGTTCCTTTTCCCATTGCTTTGCAGAAGTTCCTAGCCACCAGACTTGCTCCCCTGCTTCTTCCCTTTAGAGCCATGAAGACTGTGAAACTACTTCGCCAATCCAGCACAGTTTCGGTGGAAACATAGGTGGTTCTTTGTAGAAAACGCCTATTGGATCAACTCACAGCAGATGCTTTAGACTAGACTCTGATCATCTTTGCTGCTCGCTACCTGGACAACCCATGCAGCTGCTTTCTTGCAAAGTCTGCCTAGGTGTCCCAGAACACACACACAAAAATTCAGCACTGAACCAGAAGCACCAGAAATCCGCACCTGGATGATCCCTAAGGAACTGGACACAACTTCAGTTTCCAGGATCACCTTTTTACAAGATCATATAGAATTTGGTATTTAAAATATAGATGGGATTGACACAGGACAAAATGCTATGTAATATACACTTCATATATGTGGGTAATTTAAAGGCTAACTGATGTATAATGGAGCTACACCGTTCCCCCCAAGAGAGAACAAAACCTTGCAACACTGTTTTCAAGTGTGTGTTACATTCTCCAAACTAGGGAACAGGAAGTGGAATTACAAGAGGAGGGGTTTCTAATACAGTAGCTGTGTAGACAGTAGATTTGAGCTGGAGTTATTCCAATCCACTTTAACCCCTGGACATAATGTTTACTTGCTAAACAGTGGAACGCCAGCTGTTATAACACACATCGCTCTTTTCCAGCACACCAAGTAAGAAGGTGTGTTTATACAAGCCTGAATGGTTACTTGCAGACAAATAGCATCCATGCAATGATGCTAGTATGCTAGTAGTAGACAGTCAAGTGAAGCAGAAGTTCAATCACGGTCCATGGTGTCCAGCATTAAACCTGGCAAATATTTAATGCCAAAGCGTCATGTTGATCCAGATTTTTAAGATGGCACCATGATACCAGCATGGAAGTACAGATAGGTGGCTGAGAAACTCTTTTGCCTAACGATGTAGCAATTTGTTTTCTTATAAATAAATGTTCAAGAGAAATCAGGGGAGGTGTTTTTTCATGTGCCTCATCTGCTTTGCTTGAAAGCAATATCTCTAGGCAGCCTCCTTAAGGGAAATGGTCAGTCTGCTGCTGTTCTAGTCATTTGCCATTCAAGCTGCATAGGACTGAGCAAAATCAAATTCAGATGGCATTCTGAGGTGGAATAAGTCCACCTGAGTGGAACAGTTGGTGCCTTTAGATTATTGGCTTTTCTGAAGGCTACGGCTGCAGTGGGGCCACCTGAGGAGATAAAATTATTCCTGGTGAATCCTTTTGATTATTAGCTATTCTGCATAACACTGACCACACAAAGAGTGCGTTTTAGGGTGGATGGAGGACTTAGTAAAAATGCACTTTTTTAAACCACTAGTGAGGGTGACTCAGGCTCAAACCTCTGCTTTTTTGCTTTTTTTTTTTTTTTTTTTTAGTTACAAGAAATCAACAGGCCACTTTCCTTTAAGTTAAGTTCTCGGTAAAATGGAATTAAAAATGTGTTTTCTGTCCTCAGCCAATGAATGATACATCTAAATTGTATTTAATGTTACTGCAGATCTGCACACACACAAAAAATATTCTAGCCTCCTGTCTAGAAGATTGTGGAAGGTTGCTTTTCAGTCTCCCTTATCTCTGTTTTCTTATTTACTTCTTGGATCCCAAGGAATCTTTCCCATCTGATTTTATTTCCTCTACTTGTCACTTACACACCTTTCCCCTCTCCTGTTCTTCCCACCCAAAACTTGCCACCACTTGCCACATTCTTTCTTTCCACTGCAAAAGTGTCCCAATTCTTTGGCCCTGGCATGTTTTGGAAGGCTCTTATAATTTATGGTGGCGTGTAATGAGTTTAGAGCAGCAGGCCTCACTAAGTCTTTAAAGGATGCAAACTCACCAATCCTTTCTTCAAAAGGTGACTAATCTCACAACTATGCATTCTTCCCCGTCATGCCCAATTTAGTTATTTAAGTTGCACTTTACTAAATTTTCCCATTAAGCATGCTTCTCCCCTTCCCCCCTTTTCTAAAAGGGCAGTTTAAATCTCTAAACATGTGGAAGGAAAATGCATTGAAACGTCTGGCAAACAGATGGTATTTAGGTTACCATGGTGGAAAACATCCCAAGATCATTATGGTTACCTCTGCCCTAGAGATAATGATTTCAGGATGATAAAATTAATTCCTTCTTGAGGAGAAAAACATCAAAATTCAACTGAAATTAATGGTAGCCTCTAGTTTACAAATTAATTTAGAGCAGCCTTTCATGTTTCACTTACAGCCTAGCTACACACTGTGCTAAATGACTCCCTTGTGATATCAAGGGATTCCCTGCCTTCAATTCTAGGTGCAGGAGCACAGATTAACACTGGCACTGCAGGATATGTAGAGAGAACGATTTGTGCTGTGATTGTAGCATGGAAGGGTTAAACATCCCCGCCACTGCAGTTGTATCTGGGAATAAAGAGGGGAAATTGCCCCTGCAAGCAGCACATTTAACTTAATATGTAGATTGCCCCTAAGGATGGAATTTATACGTACAAACACATCCTCCAAAATATTTTCACTCTTCCAGTTGTATCAAAAAGGGAAAATACAACTGTTCTCCTGATGATGCGCACATACAGAGGATGGAGACCCAGTGAGCCCCCAGATGTTGTTGTTGTACCATAACTCAACAAGGATGGCCAAGAGTCAGGGGTGGGCCCACAGATTTCCTCACCCCTGGTATATAGCATATGCATCAGATGAGCTGTGGGGAGGGCTAGCACATCTCTCCTTCGCCCTTGATAGTGAGGCATTCCAGCTGCCTCACTCACTCAATTCAGGTTGGATAGCCAAAGCAGTTATCAAGGCTGGTGCAATGAAGTCAGCAATGTCTAGGCAACACGATGACGATATACATATGTAATAGACAATCTTTATAGAATTGCTTCAAACCATAACAAGTACAAAATGAAATCCTTAGTCTCAAAGTCTCTGAAAATCTTTAAATGACGCGAGGTACCAAACTTTGTACGATGAAAGACAAGCTGTGAAGCTTTGTGTATTCAGCAAATATGTAAATGAAAATATCAAATGCTGTGGAACAATGCCACATCGTTACATGAGCACTGTTCCACAGCACTGGATATTTTCATTTACATAAATTCATTCAAAATAAGATGGGTTTATGAAGCAATTCTATATCCTCCCACCATGCTGATGAAGAATTCTACGAAACAGTAGTCAATATCCGAAATAACTGTTCAGTGTTGGACATCATATTTGCTGAATACACAAAGCTTCACAGCTTGTCTTTCATCGTACAAAGTTTGGTACCTCGCTTCATTTAAAGATTTTCAGAGACTTTGAGACTAAAGATTTCATTTTGTACTTGTTATGGATTGAAGGAATTCTATAAAGATTGTCTATTACATATGTATATCATCATCGTGTTGCCTAGACATTGCTGACGTTCTCTTTGCAACACAGGGGTTTGTTTGGTGCAATGAAGTAGCATGGTGGCACTCTTTTCGTTCTTTTAGGGAAGGGCCATAGCATCTGCCTTCCATGTAGAAAGTCACAGGTTCAATTCCTGGCATCCCCAGGTAGGGTTGGGAGAGATCTTGGTCCGAAACCCCGGAGAGCTGGTGCCAGTCAGTCAGTGTAAATAATACGAGGCTAGATTGACCAACGGCAGTAGACGTTTCCATGTTGCCAAAAAGACTCTTTCTCATCTTTAAGAGACCATGGGATTCCTTGGCATTGGTGGCTCATTGCTTCAACCCCAGAAAAAAAAAACAAGGCAGTTTTTAATCTCTATCAATCATTTCTTAGAAAAGAAAACCTCCAGCACAAGCCAGTTCTATTCTGCATGGTCTTTAACGTAATTAATGGTAACCTGTAGGCTGCCCCTATCCTCCAATCTGTCCAATTCTCTGTAATACCAAACCATTAAGAGAAGAAGAAAACAGATGGAATAAGCAGTGTCGTTTGTTTTTATTTTACTAAGAAAAATCTAGTGTAAAATGTAAAGCAAACTCAGAGGGGGAAAATGTTCTTCTGAAAGCCGAACAATAATATTATAATCACTCTGGTGCCCGCATGCTATGTTAATCCTGGCTACCAGCCCTGGAACGAATCTCAAAATTGATTTGGCCAAAATACACAGGTCACAATCCAGCCCAGACTTATGCATGAACACGTCACATTGATTTCAACGAAACACAAGAGTGCATACTATTTATTGAACTGTTGCTAGAGAATTGCAGTTTTGTAGTTGTGCTCACATGGAAAATAGTCCACACAACAGATGTAAATTGCATTAAAATGTCAAAACGCGCAAAAGGCAACCCAACACCCACAGCTATATGGAAACTGCAAGCCTCAGCAACAGGGTGGAAGATTCTGGGAGCATCTAAAAAGCAGGCACAAAATGCACTCAAACATGAGCATTCAAACATCGTCATCGCTATGCCAGCATTTGCTTTTGCAGACCTTAGAATAACCAAGGGGGACAATGATTTTGTTCTAAGTAAACAAGCAAGCAGGGACAGTTGGGCTGTGAAGACTCTTTTTTGAAAGCTCCAGCTCCAATCTGATCTGCTGCCTTGAGGTCCAGACAGGCTGCCCTCTATGCTGGCTGGCAGGAAGGAGATGTTATCAGTCTTGTGCTGAGGCCTCCCATAATTGCATCTCATTCCTGATTCCTACAAAATAACGAATGTGTCCTCCCTGTGGTTTTCAGAACATATGAAGAGGAAATGGAAGGGCTGCCTGCAAATGAACTGGCATAGAAATTCTAACCAGATGATGGGGGGGGGGGTTGTTTTGTTGAACTAAGATCACTTTGAGAGAATATGTGTGTGTATCTGTGTGTGTGAGACCAGAGAGGAACAGAGAGAGAAAGTGTGGAATTCTCTGGAATTGACTCATGCTATTGTGACTTGTTATTTTGACACACTCTTGCCAAATGTTCCTGTCTAATGTTCACTGGGGAGAAAAAGTAACAGATTCCAGGGTATAATATTCCTTCGTTATTGGCAGTACTATAAAGCGCTTTCTTCTTTTTTTTGCGAAAATGAAAAGAAAAGCAATAAACGATAGTATTGAGAAAGAAAACTTCATAAAATAGCATTATGTTCTCAACTTTATTAAATAACAAGAAAAGGAGAGATTAAAATATTCCTATAAATCTAATGTTTGTTTTGTGGAGGTTTTCTTTGGATTTCCAATGTTTCCCGTCCAGATCTCTCCAGAGTTTGCTTCTCTCAGATGTGGCATTGCTCAAAAAGTACTTTTATAGGTTCACACCCACTTTTAAAAAGTGTTGCATCTCAAGTAAACCTCAAAACAGTCCCTGGGGATAGCATTTTCAGAGTCTAGGCTCTCAGTCTAATTAAGGCATTTATTTTAAGGAGCGATGCTAATTTACCGACAACAAAATCAGCACACATTTTTGAACCAATCTGAGTAAAACTATCTTACTAAGGTAACTGCAGGGTGGTAGTAGAGGAGCAATAAGAAACTGCTCTGAATTCTAAATAAAACATTTGAGCCAATTCAGATCTGCTAGTAGTATTGTGTGTGTGTGTTTTGAACATTAGTTTGCCAATCCATACATTAAATCTTTTACCAAAAAATAATAGATAGAGGAGTATATATTCCTTTATTCTTCTGTGCCCCTTTTTCATTCCTTCGTATTTCCTCAAGGCTTTTCAGTTTGTTTTTATTTGATTTTGAATATTAAAACTTGCTTTGTTTCCACTTAGCCACCGCTGGCCTGTCTGTTGCCAAAGGGCTTTTTAGCACGTTTTGACATTTTGGTCCCCCCCTTTTTTCCCCTTTTATAAATTTCCTTTGTGTTTGATGAATCACTGTTAAAGACTCTCTTTGATTTATTTTATATGATGAATTTGAGCGAGGTGGCTGAGCACCGCTTAGAAAAGAAGAAAAATAAAAAAATCATTAAGGCTATTTTCTTAGGAAGCACCCTTCTTTTTCATAAGTTTGCCCTTAGCAGAGGCAATTGGAGCAATTGCTAGGGACCATCTTCTATTCAAAGGCACTCACAGATTGAAAGGCTGCCTGGTCTATGCCCAAGTAAAGGGGTGATATGATAGCCATGTTCAAATATATAAAAGGATGTCACATAGAGGAGGGAGAAAGGTTGTTTTCTGCTGCTCCAGAGAAGCGGACACGGAGCAATGGATCCAAACTACAAGAAAGAAGATTCCACCTAAACATTAGGAAGAACTTCCTGACAGTAAGAGCTGTTCGACAGTGGAATTTGCTGCCAAGGAGTGTGGTGGAGTCTCCTTCTTTGGAGGTCTTTAAGCAGAGGCTTGACAACCATATGTCAGGAGTGCTCTGATGGTGTTTCCTGCTTGGCAGGGGGTTGGACTCGATGGCCCTTGTGGTCTCTTCCAACTCTATGATTCTATGATTCTATTCTAATGGTAAACTAGAGCAAAGG